ACAGCCACCTGAATGTGCTGAGCACCACTGGAAATGTCCTCTACAGCAGCAGTCCCCAACCTTTTAGGTACCAGGGACTGGTTTCATGGAAGACAATTTTTCCACAGACTGAAGCTGGGGCATGGTTTGGGGATGATTTAAGCACATTACATTCACGCTTGCCTCCTGCTGCACAACCTGATTCCTAACAGGCCTGGACTAGTACCTGTCTACAGCCCAGAGGCTGGGGATCCCTGCTGCACAGAGAGGAGAGGGGGCTGCACCCTTTGGTTTAATGCCATGGTTCATTGGGTCTTAAGAAAAGCAAAAGCCTTGAATCACAGATCTTGGCCTCTGATAATCAGGACAGATAGTGTTAATAAAAAGACAGGCTACTTCTTCTGGTTCTATGCCAAGGTTAAAAGCACTGAAATGAACAGATTTAGGGAACAAAACAACTGCATTTGAAAACAGTCTTATACCAAAGCAAAATGGTGAGTCCTTATAGATGAGGTTGGGTCTTTTCCAGAGGTGGGAAGAGCAGAAGAAAATTATTTATAGTTGACCCTCATTAAATATGAAATCCACATTTACAAATTCACCTTCTCCCTACTATGTATTTGAAGCTCCAAATCAATACTCACTACACTTGTGTGTTCATTTGTCAACATGCACAGAAAAAGGAAAAATCTGAATCACCCAACATGCACATTCCCAGCTAAGGTCAAAAGAGGTGACTCATACCTTCTTGTCTCAGCTCATACTGCAAATAAGTGTCCTTTTCATGGTCTACTTAGAGCCACTCTTTTTTTGCATTCGCTGTGCTCTTTAATGGTGACATGCTATTTGGATGGCCCCAAGCATTAGCACTGAGTGCTGCCTGGAGATCCTCAGTGCAGGGAGGCTGAAATGTGCCTCGTGGAGAAAACATATGTGTTAGGTAAGCTTCACTTGATCCTGAGTCACAGCACTTTTGGTCCTCAGCTCAATGGTAACAAGTCAACAACACACATGAAATACGTTTATTTAAATAGGAACACACATAAAACAAGGTTATATGTTGACTGGTTGACTAAAATGTCATGACCACAGGCTTACAGGGGGATAACTCTGTTTTTCCCAGGAGAAATTAATGGTTCAGTATTTGAGAATTCAGTATTCACAGTGACTTTATAGAATTTAAGTACCAAGAATAATGAGAATTGACTATAGATTCAGAAGATGACAAGAATAGAGCCAAGAGTAGTACTACTGATGAACTCAAGAGAGGAAAAAAGAAGGGAAAGAAACGACACTCTGATCATTGGTGATTTATAATGTTGTTAGTGACAGTAAATTAATCTGAACTTTGGATTGCCTCTGACCCTGCTTTCCAGGCTCATACATTGTGGCCCTTGCAGGGTCTAGGGACCAGTGCCTCTGACCATCTTCCAGATAGAAGTGGAGACAGGCGATACCAGCAAAAGGAGTGTGGGGCTGATGCAGCTCTATTAGTGTGTAAACTAAGCCTCATTTGGAAAGGCAGCTTTTCATTAGCTGAGGCCAGGCCTGGCTGCTGGGGAGCTGAGGCCACCTGGCCACATTTGTGGACCACTGAATGTGGACACAGGAGGGGTGTGTGTCCATGTTTGTTTATATCTCAGTGGCAGCAGCAGCATCAAAGCTGTTGCCTTTCTAAGAGACTCTTGGGCAGAACAGAATTGTGCGGGGTAAGGTGACCAGGATAGTGAATGCACTGGAATAACATTGAGGGAGGGAGGGTATGTGAGCTTGGAGCAGAGCTGGGAGACTCTGAAGACTGTTTGTTGGAACATAACTGGAAACCCATGCATCCTATGGGCAGATGGAGGAGCAGGAGAGGCAGGGCTTTGGCTGAGAAAGCCTTCTCTGCCAGGTGTGTCCATCCCAGGCTGGCACAGGTCCACTTAAGAGGTGATGAGCCCTATGTAGGTGTGTCGCTCCATCAGCTGGGGAACCTTAGAGGATTGGATGAGTGTCCATCGTACTCTGACTCCAGCACCATGCTCACCACATGAGCAAAGCAGCCCCTGCACATTGAGAATTTGGATTGCAAAAGCAGTGTGCAGTTTTTTGTCTATTTGTAAACTGTACTTGAAAAATAACTAAATAAAATTTAAAAAAAATAAAAAATTAAAAAAAAAACAAAACAACAACAAAAAAGCAGTGTGCATTCACTGTGGAAACACTGGAAAGGAAAGATCTGTATGTTTCCATTTTACAGGTATTTTGCAAGCACCTGGGCAGCCCCTAAGTGTTGAGGGAACAGGTCAGTAATTCCAGACATTGGTGCCAGAGGGTAGGCTTGTGTTTAACAACGAAGGAAATAGACACTTTGGTGAAATAAAGATAAATAGGGGCATGAAGCTAGCTCAGACATGGTTCTCAGAAGACATGGATCTGAGGTGACAGATCTGAGACCGCACAGCTGAAAAGGAGAAACCAACCAGGTTCGAGTAAGGCAGCTGGGGTCAGGAAAGGTCCCATCATATTAGGAAGGAAGGCTGTATGGCTGGACACGGTGAGCATGGGCATAAGCAGGCAAAATGAGGAAGAAGCTCAGGCCAAACCATGGGGGGAAGTGGGATCCATAGAGGGTTTGGGGTGTGATGAGGTAGGAGATGGCTTGGCAGCCTCACACTGCCTGCTTCAAAGTTTGTTCCGGCAGAGAGAGCTGGAAGAACTTCCATCTATGGGAGTAAGAAAGTAGAATCAAGGAAGACAGGAGTTGGGGCTTTGGGATATACATTAAAGAAAAGGTAATGAGAGCTCCCTGGGGACCAGATGGTTTGACCTCCTTGATTCCCAGCCTCTGATGCAGCAGGTCCCTGCATGGAGCTCACACTACCTAAGGGAATCCTCCCTGGCATAGAATGGTTGCATCTGGTGGAAACCATGTCTTTTCTGACTCTGTAGATTAGACATGCATGATGAGTGAGAGAGAGGAATCCTGAAAGACTGTAGGGTCTCATCCAAAGCTACTAGTTAGGGTTGGTGTCATTTCCTGTTAGGAGGTGCTGAAGGAGGAATATTCATGAACCACTGAAAGCTCCATTCTGAGGGCATGAGGGCTGAGTTGTCTGTTAGACATTCCAGTAGAAACATCAGGTAAGCAGCATCTGGGTCAGGACTACACTGGAGAGAGGAACATGTGAGCTCCTGGGCATGTTATGGGTAGTGGGACCCACTGAAGTGGGGCACCGCAGGAGGTCAGGCAAGCTAGGGCCAGACGGGTGACCTTGGGTTTGGCCACTTGGAGGTTGGTGACCTTGGAAAAAACAGAGGACAAAGGATGTAAAGAGCAAAGGGGCAGTGCAGAGGTTTCAACAGTAAACATAAAGAAGTCAGTCAGACTACCTTGCTGTCAGAGCTGTCCTTGCAGTACCCCATCTCTACTGCCAAAATCACCTTCAGCACAGGAAGTCATACCAGCAGCCATGGGGCTGCTACCACCCAGTGCAGCCAGACCTACGCACTCCTAGGGAAGCCCCCTGCTCAGGGATGAGTCTGAAATGTTCCCTCAGAGCCATGTTACAGGTATGCCCCAGTGTACCTGGAGGACAGGCCCTTGGCAGGCTGCCTCATCACAGCCTGTCTTTGTCTCATGTCGATTGGTTTTGATGTGGGACTCAGCAGAGGCCAGTGCCAAGGTAAGTGTTAGTGACAAAGAGATGAATTTAACAAATGATAGGGATGTTAAGATTTATATAAATTAAAAAGTATTTTAACACTTAAAATATTGTTCTTGAAGACTTACAATTTAAATTGAGGCTCATAGTAGGTGGCATCTATGTCAAGGTCCCCGAGAGCAGGGACAGCTAAGAGCCAGGGTGCATCTGAGGCAGGTCTCAAAGATGATTTGTCCTCCATCCTGCCCTGCTGCTCTCCTCTCCACTGCAGCCAGAGAGAGTGAGTGCAAGGACCTGGAGAAAGCAGCTGTAGTCTGGGGGTCAGGCCTGCTAGGTATAAAGCTAGCAGGCATGCAGGGACAGTGATGGGAAGCATGGGGACATGCAGCAGGACACTGGGGGACCACAGGCGAGTGAAGGAGGAACAGGAGGGGAGGATGGAGGCCAGCAGCTGGCGGGTTTATTGCCATGAAGCTAGGGTGATGTGGTCAAACCAGACAGCAGTAATGGATACTGACAGAATGGAGCTCACACCTAATCTATTTTCAACACAAGCCTAAAAGAAAGTAAGGGCTTTGGAAGGAGGCTCACTCCTGGCTGGGCAGCACCTGGTCAAGGAAGGCAGTTAGGTGGCAGTGGAGATCTTGGCTGCAGGTGCAGTCAGGGACCAGCATGAACATCACCGAGACTGTTGGCCCTGCAGTCCCGCAGGCTACTGCATTTTCAGAGTCCAGGTGATGTGCACAGATGGAAGTTTGAGAAGTGCTGGGCTGCAGGGGAGAAAAGTTGAAAGTGCAGGTGGTGTTCACAGAACAAGGGTTGGCTGAGGTTCTAAAAGACCCACTGCAGGGACAGAGCAGAGTGTAATAAAGTGTAATACTTAGGGCCTCACTCTTGAGGGGTAGGGCTGAACGTGCAATGCAAGCATCCAAGAAGGATTGTTAGAAATGCAGAATGAAGCGAGAAGTAAAATAGTGATTCCAGGAGATGTATTGGCTCACTGTCTCTCCAGAGATGTCTTCTTGTTAACAGTGTTCTTCAACTTGAGTGCAAATGTAGACTGTACTTAACCTTCTGGGAGATGAAGTTTTAGAAACTGGACAAACAAATGAGTCACTGATAGTCAGTGTTAGATGTTATTATGGGCTTCATCAGGAGCATTGACTTGGCAATATTGCCTAGAGAAAACTCTGTTGCCTCTATTGGGTAGGTATGCTTACATTTACAGCCATTTGTAGGATAATTCATGTCCAGAAGAGATTGTTTCACATTACCCTATGTCTATGTATGTCTGTGTGCTTCTCTGTATGTCTGTGTCTTTGTGTGCCTGTGTTTGTGTGTCTGTTTATTGAAGAAGTATTTTTTCTGTGACAGGTGCCTCATCAAATATCAAACCTCCACTATTTCTTCAATGTGGGCTGTTATAAGTGGGTGACCAGAAATGATCTGAAAGAAGGCAGGGAGGAGACAGTGTACAGCCCATGGCCAGGTGTTTTGAGAGGATGCCACTATTCATGCTCAGGTCAGAGGCTTGTAGGTCCCATCTCTTGGCTAAATGTGTATTATTTGGTGTGTCCACATGCCAGCATTTCAGCTCCCTAGTGTCTAACTACCATGTATAGGACAAAAAACACTCAGCGTTTAGGTGAAAAGTATACAGCAACATCTTCACTGCATGTAGCCCTGACCAGCAGTGCATGTTCCTTACTGCCGTCTGCACCTTGAGAGAGCGATGGACATAAGCTCATCCAGGCTCTGTCCAGTGTGCCTGCTGACTGTCAGGACCATCTCCTAAGCCCCACAGTGGGAGTTCTCTTTTCAATGTGTCTCTTAGAATTCTCTCACTCGACCAAAAAAACCCAGACGTTTGTGACCACATTTGTCCGATGTTCTGTTGTCAGGTTCCCTATTGAGAGTGTGGGTTTGAAATCGAATGGTTATGCCTGCAGAAGGTTGGACAGCAGGTTAGTTAGGGCTATAGGCCAAATCCCAGGAGGAAAGGGCCTCCCCTGATGGAGGGCCTGGCTCCAGTGTCAAAAGATGTCAATTTTACCACTGTCAGTTTTACAGCTGTGTGGGTGCTGACTGATGTCTCTCTGTTTTGACAGGTAGACACTGTGTGCCCTTGGCCGTGAGGGGAGACAGGCATGGCCTCAGGTGTGGCTGACCACCTGCCCTTCTTCTTTGGCAACATCACCCGGGAGGAGGCTGAGGACTACCTGGTCCAGGGTGGCATGAGTGACGGGCTCTACCTGCTGCGCCAGAGCCGCAATTACCTGGGTGGCTTCGCCCTGTCGGTGGCACACGGGCGCAAAGCGCACCACTACACCATTGAGCGGGAGCTGAATGGGACCTACGCCATCGCGGGTGGCAGGGCACATGCCAGCCCTGCTGAGCTCTGCCACTACCACTCCCAAGAGTCAGATGGCCTCATCTGCCTCCTCAAGAAGCCCTTCAACCGGCCGCCTGGGGTGCAGCCCAAGACTGGACCCTTTGAGGACCTGAAGGAGAACCTTATCCGGGAGTACGTGAAGCAGACCTGGAACCTGCAGGTGGGCCACACTGGTCCCGCCACTGTGTACAGTCTTGTGTGAGCCCTGCAGTTCCATACCCAAGCCCGTGCAGCACAACTAAGCATTGCTCCCTCAGATAAGCAGCCTTAGTCATCAACTTGAACCAAAAAATGCTTTGCTCCAAGAAGGCAGCCTTTCCTTTTTTGTGGTCACAGTTGAGAGGGCAGCCCCTGCGTGCCAGCGATGTGGGTTTCTCCACCGCAGGAAACCACTGTCACCCAGTTCATGCTGAGCCCTTTCAGAGAGACTTCACAGGCTTCTCTTCATCCTTGTTTACCTAAGAGGGTCATACTAGACACAGCAGGCACTGGATTTTATAGCTTTGTAACCTCTCTTGCGGAACTTTCTGTGTCGGCACACACATTTATTAACCTCTTTTAGCTGCCTGATATTCTCTCCTATGCAATGTAATTTATTGAACTTTAGTTGTTTACAAATAATGCTGTTAGTAAGATCTCTCTATACCCATCCCTCTGAGCTGTCAGGCAATATCTTCAGGATAAACTTGAACAGGGTGGGTTTGCCACAGAGAAGGGGATGTGTGTTTAATATGTGTGTATTGATACCTTGTCATCCAGAAAGGTCCCATAGGCTGTGACAACTTAGATTCCTATGCTCTCCTGCTCAGACTTCTGTGCTGAACCATTCATCCTGAGCTTCCTGGATGTGTGTGCCCCACAATTTGCTGTTAGCTGAAATGTGCAGAATTATGACTACATAGGCTTTTGAGGATTATATTCCATGACACTCCCGTTACTCCTTTAATATGTTCTATACTAAAGTGGCCTTTCTGCCACTTCTGTTTTCACACCGGTCGTTCCTGCACTTTCTGTGATCACGGCACCTGCAGTTTCAGGCACTGGTGTGTGTGGGTGCAGAGTGCAGCCTTAAAAGGCAGGCGGGAAAGCACCCTAATGCTTCTTAATTGTTAGTAGATGATCAAGCTCAGTACAGAACAAAAAGTTCTACTAGACAACTAATCCAAGGAAGGCAGAGGGCATGTTCTCTAGACCTTGTGTATTGTACCAGGTGGTTACTAAAATTAGTGCAGCTTTTAGAAGGCCAATAAATCTCAATATTGTAAAGTCAATCTGTAAGTAATCTGTCAATCTTAAGTAATCTGTAAGATCTCACTGGCTTTATTTATTGAGTGAATGAGCAAATGCACATATTTGACTGTATTTTGTCATGTCAGGACTTAGAACAGATTGGAAATGGTTTCACTGCCATTTTTCATTTAACGCAGTATTGCTCTGCTCTCCCCCATTGTAATAGGGCCAAGCTCTGGAGCAGGCCATTATCAGCCAGAAGCCTCAGCTGGAGAAGCTGATCGCCACCACAGCCCATGAGAAAATGCCCTGGTTCCACGGAAAAATCTCTCGGGATGAATCTGAGCAAATTGTCCTGATAGGATCAAAAACAAATGGAAAATTTTTGTAAGTATTCTGTCTTTCCTCCCACTCATACCTCCAGGCCTTCTCAGACTACCAGGTAACTCAGGCTTTTCATTACTAGACCCATGCAACTCAGGAAGGAGCCACACTCACTAGCCTGCCAGGAGATGTTTCCAGTCAAAGCTGTCCCTTGTAATTCAGTGTTTGTTTTGCCCCATTTGGACCCCAAAGTGAACAATTTTCTTGGACACTGAGGGACATAATTTAAAGATACAATGTCAGCCTCATAGTCTGCTTTTAATGGCAAATACAGGATGCATAGCAATATCCATGGCTATTCACTTAAACTAAACATACCACAGTTTGGTCACTCACATTTCCCCGAAGATCTTAGAATTTACTTCTGTTTTACTTGAAACTAAGTGCCAGTAGAGCAGATATTAAAGAAAGTTCCCTGAGAGTAGCTCATGGGAAAGATAGTGCAGGCATTTGATTACAAGCTGATTTATGGACTTCAGCCTTATCATCTTAGGGATGAGGTGAGCATCCCAAGTCCTGCTTATTGTTATCTTTAGTGGTCAAGGTAGACCTTAGTACTGAGGTCTTAGAATTACTGGCTACCTCCCGGCAGGTCTGTGGTCAAGAGAAGGGAACAGCCTGTCTTGGACAGGTGTCCATCTCATTCCCCAAGGTGCCCTAGCTAAGGTGACACAGCAGCACTGCAGGCATGGCAGTCACTGTTTGTCACTGTTCAGACAAACAGCTCCATGTATGGAGCACCCTCCAGAGATGCTCACTGGGTGTTCCCGTGGACGAGGGTCCTTTTCTCACCTTGGACACTTAACAAAGGGCTGAGTAGCCCCATGAGCATGGAATCATATCCGGCTGACTTTGTAACCATTTCCTAGAAATATGGTGTCTTGAAGTATCTATTTAAACGATTTTCCGTAGACTTTACCATAATACTTATTATTTAAGAAATTATCTTAAACACATACTTTTTTAAAACAAAGTAATCCTAAAAATAAGTGCAGAGAGCGAAGTTGGTACTAGCAGTAAATAGATTGATGATGTAGTGAATGCAGTAAGGGCTGCCCACAGAGACTCTGTGCTCTGGGAGATACTTTTTTCTTGGTGTAGCACCTGAGGTTTGGACTTTTACCATCTTCTTAGGAATAATTTCTAACACAAATATCATGGGACTATGGACATAACATCTTAATTGCATAATCTAAACAACAAGTGTCTGCTGGTTCAGATGCCCACTCTCAGGTAGGTTGCTGAGGATCAGTTGCAGTCAGAGAGGGCTGCTCGCTCCCCATTTACACAAGGGGTGCTGCAAGTAGTGCCTGCATTGGCACCGCCCAGGGGCTCTGCTAGCTGTCGGTTCCTTCCCCACTGATTCTTCTCAGGCCTCATTCACATTTTCCTAAAGAATGTATTACTTGCCTACTTTCCAACCATTTAAATTGAATTGCTCCTCTTTGGACGAATATTTACTGGTGTCCTAGTTGTGTGAGGCACCAAATGCCAACATTGTTCCAGGCACTGGGGGTGGAGACATGAGCCATACCAGCATTTGCCTCATGGAGCCTGCATCTCAGTGGCAGAAACAGACAATGAGCCATTGAATGGGAACTTCACAGGACGTCAGTGTATATGGAGAAGGGAACAGAGCGTGCTGGCCAGGGCACCTGGTTCTGTCTCATGCTGGGTGGTGAGGAAGGGCCTTGCTGTGAAGCAGAAATTTGACAAAGACCTGAAGGCAGTGGGAGCCACCCAGCAAGGGAATAGCACTTGTGCTCTGAGGTGGGAGTGTGCTTGGGAAACTCGCTGGACGTGGGAGGGCTTGCTTTGGGCAAGTTGGTCTGTCCATTTTGGGGTATGTGTTAGGGAAGATCCAACTAAAGTTCAGTAGACTTGTCTGGCTGGATGTAGGAAGAGACAGTGGGGAGTCTAGGGGTAAGCACACTCACTCTGTACATTCATGTGAACACCAGACAGGGATTCCCAGCCCAGGTCCTGTGGCTGGGGGTCAGAGCTCTGCTGTATTAGTGACTCCAGGGACAGATGCTGTTAGGGGTGTGTACCCTTGGCTCTCTGAGGCCTTGTGTGATGGTATAATTGGCCATTTTGAGAAATTAGTCATAGCTCAGGTGTGACTAAAATGCAAATTTGTTAGAAAAGGGAAACAAAGCTTATTTTCCAAAAATTATGAATTCCATCCCCCAGAGGAAGGATCCAGGATTAGTAGGGTTCAAAGCATATACAATTTGAAGACCCTCTTTTTAACAAGTACAAAATTAGGTACAAAATATACTTTTAGAATAAGAAAAAAAATCACAAATTTTTAAGGCTAGTAAATACTACAAATACAAAATTTAGAGAAAAATATAATTTTTTACTTACCTTCCTTACAACTCTCAGTAGTACCTTTTATTTTCTTTTTTAACTGCATAGTGTTTGCCTCTTTTTTAAATAATAATTTGTTAATATTTTTCCACTTATAAGAGAAAGAAAACTAAGCCTTCTTCTAGGTTCACAACTCATTATAAAAAATACAGGCACATTCTCAGGACAAAACCTCAAAGCCTTGTGGTCACAGTGCTGGGCCCTGCTGGGGCTGACTGAGGCCCCTGACCCTCCCTGGCAAAAATACCTCCCCATGTGGCTCACACAGGGCTGCTCACAGCCCTTGTGCACAAATGCTTCTCCAATTGCATATCTCTTCCCCACAATGTAATGTGCTCTGCTCTTTGTTTCATTATGTAAAGTATTTTACCATGAAAATGCTCCAAAAATTGTATGTCCTATAAAAGAAAAAACAACGGAATTGTCACTGTCTTTGTGTTTAGTACCCACAATATCTTATTGTTAATATCTTATTGTTTTTTGGCTAAAGTTTTTATAAATCTTACAGAACCAAGAGTGAGTTCAAGGTGCTGACTGCACATATTACTTTGGAAATACTTGCTGAGTGCCAGGCCAGTGTTGCCATGGAGACAGGAGGTGAAGGGGATTTAAGAAGGAGGTCACAGGAGAGTGGGGTTTCCTGGGTGGTGGCAGGGTGGAGAGTGCATGCTGCCATGCAGAGCCTCCTAGGCCAAACCAGTGGGCTAGTCATCTCTGGGACACTTGTCAGATTCTGAGAAAGACCTTGACTTCTTGGATGGCCTCCAGAGTGTGAAGAGCAGGTGGGGGGACAGAGGTTGCCATGGGCATGGCAGTAATCCTGTGTGTCCTGCTGGGGAAAGGTAGCCGAGAGGCAAGTCTTAGACCATACACAGAAGTTTGCAGGAGTTAAAAGAGAGCATTACTCATGTGACAGCTGGTCATGTGGGCAGAGCAGGGATGGTAAGAAACTGAGGCAGACAGGAAGTCCAGGAGAATTTGAAGTCAGTGATCTGAGAGATGCACGAGTTGGGGAGTGTGCAGGGTATTAGGAGCTATGGCCTGTGTGTTTCACTGGTTCACTCACAGTGCTGGCCTGTGGTTGTTGCACACAATGTGTAGGACCCCTAGACATGCTCCTTTCCCTGCTAGACACTCTTCTTTCTTATGACAGCTTTTTATGTTAGTTAAGACCACCCCCAGAAGCCTCTCGTCCTTGTGTGCAGAAGCCTCTGGAGCAGGGACCAAGTACAAATGCGGCTTACCCCACAGAAGCAATCAGTAGTCTAGCCCCATAATTGATTCCTCTGTGTGGCCTGTGCTTACATACTCTGCATCTGAAATTCAGGTGTCCCCTGACCTTCCCCTGTCACCTTCAGTGAGAAATCAACATTTTGATCTTTGAGTCATATGTCTGTATTAGTTCTCATGATTTTCTTTCTTCCTCCCTTCCCTTCCTTACCATATCCTTTTCTATTCTCTCTGTCCTTTACACACACACACATACACACACACAATTCACTCATCCATTTATGCCTCTTACTTTTGGCCCTGCAATTAAAGCAATGAGCAAGATGCGTAGATGGTCTAGCAAGAGTGTACACTGCTCTGTACACAACTAGGGACTAGAAGATTCAGTGACAAGTCTCTCTAAGGAAAAGGGTTGTGTCCACCCAGAATCAGAAGAGTACAAATCAGAGCCATGTAATTCTTGTCCAGGATGGACCTGGCCCAGGGACACCAGAGGGCATACCTGTCACCCTTGACTATTAGAACAATACCTTTCACCAATGTCCCAGGCCCCCCCCCCCACACACAGTGCCTATGAACTGGATTGCAAGTGGATGCATTGAGTTGGAAATAGGTACGAGGAATGTTTTCCAGTGCAAGTGCAACCCGGTGTAAAGTAGCCATAAAAATGTATTCACAACATGGTGCATTTTACAGAGACAGTGAGATAGCTTGTAAGAATATATACCCGTATTCCCTATGAGCAAGGAACAAATGTAAATTAGGATGAAGGATGAAGAATGAGAAAGCTATACCTTTCGTTGTGTTTCACAAGATGGATATGAAATCTAGAGGAGATGATATAAGCAGTAGTCTTCAACATTCTCTGTGTGTGGGAACCACCTGGAGGCTGGTTAAAGGCACAGATTGCTAAGGGTCACCCCCTCCTTGAGCTTTTAACTCACTAGGTCTGGGTAATGGCTAAAGAATTTGCATTTCCAACAAGTTCCCAAGTGATGTTTATGCTACTGGTCTGAGGACCACATTGGACCCTGTTGGCAAAGCCTGTTACCTACCTAAGCTAGATTAAGAACAGTGACCATTTGAGATTTTCAGAGTTCATTGGACAGTCTCTAACCATATGTGTACTAGAAAACTGTCACTTCTGAGGGTCCTGCAACACAACTCAAATACTGCTTATTTGACTGGTTGATATACATACCTTAATACTACTTCTATTTGTAGAAACTTAAGTGCAGTAGTGGAGAAACTCAGGCCATGAAGTCCGACAGGCCCAGCCACTTAACAGCTCTGTGGAGACAACTTAATTCATCTTTCTGACTTCAGTTTACTCAATGATAAAATGATAAAACTAGTGTTTTATTTGAGTTGTCTTGGGGATGAACAAACTAATTTTAACT